GAGACTGGACAGAGAACGGACTGAACTGAGGAGAGACTGAGGGGAGACTGGACAGAGAACGGACTGAACTGAGGAGAGACTGAGGGGAGACTGGAGAGAGGACAGACTGAGAACGGACTGAACTGAGGAGAGACTGAGGACAGACTGGACTGAGGGGAGACTGTGGACTGAGGGGCTCTGCAGACTGCAGCCTGCTTTGTGAGAGACAGTGAGTGACTGCTGTCCACAGCACCTAGAGCAGCCCAGGGCTCAGGCCCTGAGAGCAGAGCATGAGGGGCTGACTAACCCCAAAGCCAAACACCCAGACACAGCGCTGTGGGCCAGGGGGTGTGAATCGGACATCCAGAACAACCTGTGCTTCCAGTTTTTCATGGGCTTCCTGCAAAGAGAGAGGGGGTGGAGAGAGAGAATCCGTTAATGCCAGCAGGAATAACGATGAGAGCATGAACCTGTGTAGATACATTTCACGGTTTGTCTTGTTCTTCTTCGAGTTGTCTCTGTGTCTGTGTGTTGCCACTGAGGGGGATTCTGTCAAGAATGGTGTGCCGGTCCTGGGGGTCGGGTACGGTCGGGCCAGGTTCCGGCTGAATGAGCCCTGGCCTTGGGTTGTGACAGGGGCATTGTGGGACCGCTGTCTCCCTGGAGCTCCAGTGTGGCAAAGGCCAGAAACGCACACTGCCATCTGGCGCCACACTTCCCCATCCCTCCCGCTGGCCTGCCCCGGGGGGCGTGGCTGGCCTGTGCGCTGGGCTCACATTGCCGTTATCAGGGGGGTGCTGTGCCCCGCCAGCCAGCTGTTGCCCTCTCCTCTGTGTCGGACCACATCTGTTCACAGCTGGACTGCGCTGTGTGCAGCCTCCCGACCCTGCGGCAGTGTTCATGAAGCAAACACTGCGTCAGCCGGTTCTTCGAGACAGCGCCTTGTCAAACTGAGGGAAGTGCTGAGGAGGTCTGCGAACCTGATGGCTGGCTAAACTGTCATCTGGTTAACCTGCTGTCTGGTTAACCTGATCATCAGGTGGAACCCACTGTCTGCTTAACCACACATGGTTAATCTGGTTGTTTTGTCTGGTTAACCTGATTGCCTGGTCAATCTGTTGGCTGGTTAACCTGTTGTATGGTCAATCTGTTGGCTGGTTAAACTGTTGTCTGGTTAACCTGTTGTCTGGTTAATCTGCTTGTCTGGTTAATCTGTTGACTGGTTAACCTGTTGTCTGGTTAATCTGTTGTCTGGTCAGTCTGTTGGCTGGTTACCCTGT